AGCACTTGGCCTGCAAAGATCTTGAGGAGTACTAAAAAGTTGCTTCAGACACTTTTGCTCTATTTTAAGCAGTTGAAAAGTTGTAGGACATCGAAAATGCACGAAAATACCGTTTTAAAGCGAAAAGTGATTTTTAGCCAATAAAATCGACTGGAAGGGGTTTTTTCGTTCAGGAGTGTTGCTCAGCTATATTCTGGCTACAATATTACTATAATTATTATTATTCTGCACCATACAGCGTTTCTTCGCCAGAGGTGGTTTATTTAGCATAAATATAATTCTTGTTATATTAACAATATTTACAATGGGATAATTCATTTTATTTGACCTTACTCTCTCCAAATTCTGTTTCTCTTAAAATAGTCAGCTACTCTATGTTTAACAGTATTTATACTTGTGTTAAAATCAATTAAATAAGTATCACAACTCGGAATAGTAGTAATATTACATTCATCTGGTAAATTAGGAAATCTGAGTTTCTTGTCCAATGTCGCGGTGTTTTAAAACTTATTCTGCTCAAAATGTATTTCGATGAAGTATTTCCACATATACTATTTGTGGACAAGTAATATTTGTGCTATCTTACCGAAGACAGTAAGTGAAAAAAATGTATACGGCTCGAGTTATGGTCGAAAAACTGGAAAAATTGACTATTTTCTCGACATTTTGTCTTATAGCTCTCACCAGATGTAATTTTTGGGTATAGTTTTTTGCTAGTTTGCACCTAAAATTTAACGCCAAATATTTTCTTAATACATACCAAGGCTATAAAACCATCACTAATGGGAGAAAAATGGCATTTGTTCAATACCACTTTGCATTTCAATACTGGTGGAAAGGTAAAACGCCGAATTTGATATTTAAAAAAGTTGAGCCAATTTTAATATTCTGAGAACGCAGTTGTTCTTAGATTTTAGCCCTCTAAAACGCCTGATTTGTCCGGCTTCTGTGCCAGACAAAAAAACCATCGGAAGAACTGTGCTATGATAACATTTTAGAACGTTGGCCGTGTTTTGCGTCACACCAAATTAGCCGATGGATTGGATTTGAAGCAAGTAACTGTGCCGATTGGCGTTCTATTGGTGATATTCGAATCACGTCCAGATTCATTACCGCAAGTGGCTGCGTTGGCAATGGCTTCTGCGAACGGTCTTTTGTTGAAGGGGGGCAAAGAGGCAGCTCATAGCAATCGAATGCTTATCGAACTGGTGAAAGAGGCACTATCGAGCGTTGGAGCTGAAAATGCCATTTCTTTGGTTTCAACACGTGAAGAAATCAGTAATCAATATTTTTATTATAAATACAAATTCATTTTTAATTTTTTTTTAAATAATTAATTTTTAGGCGATTTGCTCTCGATGGACAAACACATAGATCTCATAATTCCACGAGGCTCCTCTGAATTAGTTCGTTCAATTCAACAACAATCACAACACATTCCAGTATTGGGGCATGCAGAAGGCATATGCCATGTCTTCGTTGACAAGGACGCTGATTTACAGAAGGCATTGAAGATAATTCGTGATGCAAAATGCGATTATCCGGCGGGTAAGTATTTCATGCGAAGAAGAGACAAGGAAGAACTATCTTGCATATTCTCCATTTGAGAACTACTTGAAATGAATACATTTTTATAATACTATAGCATGCAATGCAATGGAAACTTTACTGATTCATGAAGACCTAATGAATGGTTCATTCTTTGCCGATATTTGCAACTTGTTCAAACGCGAGGGTGTTAAGTTGAATTCGGGACCTAAATTGAATCAAACGCTTACATTCGGCCCGCCACTCGCAAAATCAATGCGTCAAGAGTACGGTGCATTAGAAGCAACCATCGAAGTGGTAACTGGACTAGACGAAGCAATTGACCACATTCATAAATATGGCAGCAGCCATACCGATGTTATTATCACAGAGAATGGTATAATTAGAAGCAAATTAAAAGTATTGAGAAACACGTTCTATCCATTTAATTGAATTTGCGGTTTATTTATTCTTTCTTGGCAGAATGGGCATCGAAATATTTCCAAAAGCATGTAGACAGCGCTTGTGTATTCCACAATGCAAGTTCACGTTTTGCTGACGGTTTCCGTTTCGGATTGGGAGCTGAAGTTGGTATCAGTACAGCACGTATCCATGCTCGTGGACCAGTGGGTGTTGAAGGTTTACTTACAACAAAATGGATTTTATCTGGTCAGGATCATACAGCATCTGACTTTGCTGATGGTGGCCGCCAATGGATTCATCAAAGCTTACCATTAGACCAAAACTGATAATTAACCCTTTTTATTCTAACGAGTAAAAGAGAAAATCAAATCTACTCCCAAGTTTTTCGTCTTGTCAAAATCTTTAGCTTTTTATTAATCAAGACGTTTGTCTTTCGTTTGTATTTTTTGGTATTCATTTTGTGAATTTTTCGATGTTACTCTCGTTTTGTTTTTATTTTTGTTAAGAAGTAATGTTGTGATTTATGTTGTGTTTTATAATTATTATCAGATGAATAAAAGAAAAAAAAAAGAATACATATCACAATGGCGAAAGGAATTTGATTTCATAACTCTGCAATACAGAGTGAGTGGACTATAAAATTATCATTTTCCCATTAAAAGACTGGTTATATATTGATGAAGGTATTTAAGAACGCGATTCGGTTATATTG